GAGGTGAGACTGTAAGCCGGGGTCAGTGGCACAGGCTTGTTGTGACTAGTCACCTCTCGGCCACAGTCCGCTGGCCAGGACCGCCAGTCCTCCTCGGCACCATCAGGCTCTGCCTGGGATGCAGCCCTCCCAGCCAGTGACAGGGTGCGGACAAGTTAGCTGTACTTGTAGAGAAAGCCTCTGAACTAGATCCTTAGGATTCCCGTGACTTGTTTCTGATTTAGTTTCTTCTTACCATGTTGATTGCATTTCGCCAAGTCATCCCTGTTCTGTTTTGTGACCAGGGAGGCGAGGTGTGTTGGGAGCTGCTCCTCAGTGTGGTATCTTAGGCCAGATGCCTCCTGGCATCAGGAAGTCACCTGCCTTGTCTGTCCTGATAGGGTCTAAAGGGAAGTCCCAGTAAGAGGGAGGCAGAGGCAGGACAGAGCTTAAGAGCACCGACTCCTGAGTTGCAAAGTGCTAAATCTGATCCCCTCATTCAGCCATTTCCGTGCTGTAAGGCCTGAGGCAGGTCACCTATCCCACAGGGCTATTGTGAGGGTTCAATGAGACGATGCATGTAAACCATCTCTACAGTGCCCGCACAGTAAGCATAGCCTTAAAAAAATGTGCCCTAGCCGGGACCGGTTTGGCTCAGCCGGTAGAGCGTCGGCCTGCGGACTGAAAGGTCCCGGGTTCGATTCCGGTCAAGGGCATGTACCTTGGTTGCGGGCACATCCCCAGTAGGGGGTGTGCAAGAGGCAGCTGGTCGGTGTTTCTCTCTCATCGATGTTTCTAACTCTGTCCCTCTCAATTCCTCTCTGTGTAAAATCAATAAAATATATATTTTTTTAAAAGTGCCCTAACCTTAAAAAATGTGCCCTATGTACTATTATGTTAAGAAGTGGTCAGCAAGGGCTGAGGTACTGCAGGTTGGAGGCAGCTGCTGTGGTCTCTCGGTAAAGCTGTGGTCATCGATGACTGTCACCTTCCCCTGTGACAGTGACGGAGGATTCTGAACGCCAGATCCATCTCGTCACTGAGGTTTGTGGTCTGGTCAATCCGCTAGCTTTGCTGTTTCTCTTCTAGCCTGTGACTGTGACCCCAGGGGTATCGAGACGCCGCAGTGTGACCAGTCCACCGGCCAGTGTGTCTGCGTCGAGGGCGTCGAGGGCCCACGCTGCGACAAGTGCACTCGAGGCTACTCGGGGGTCTTCCCGGACTGCACGCCCTGCCACCAGTGCTTTGCTGTCTGGGACGCGATCATCGCCGAGCTGACCAACAGGACCCAGAGGTTCCTGGAGAAAGCCAAGGCCTTGAAGATCAGCGGTGTGATCGGGCCTTACCGGGAGACCGTGGACTCGGTGGAGAAGAAAGTCAACGAGATCAGAGACATCCTGGCCCAGAACCCGGCTGCAGAGCCGCTGAAAAACATCGGCAGCCTCTTTGAGGAAGCGGAGTAAGTAGTTAACGAGCGAGCGAGCGTGCGTGAGAGCTCACAGTGTTGTTCCAGAGCTGGCTTGGCCTGGTGCTTCCATCAGAAGGCGGGGCCAGTCCTGTGAGTGAAAGCAGATGCTGGGCCATCTGTTTCCCGGCAGCCTCTCCTCTGGGCCTTGGGTGTTTTTGCACGCTGGCACATCGCTGGGGACCCGAACTGGGGAAGCTGCAGCATAGAATGTGTGTGTTCTACTCGGCGTTCCTCCTTGCAAATGGTGCTCTCAGGCAGGAGCACGGCAGGAACGCTGGTTTCGGAGACAAAGGACCCCTGAGGAGCTAGCCCGGGTACTTGCTAGGCTGTGAGTTTGAATGACTCACCTATTCCTGAGCTGCTTTCCTCTCCTGTGGAGGAGGGAACAATAATGTTTGAAACCTTTACCTTATAGAGTAGCAAAAAGAGCCATCTATGAAACAGTTAATGGAATTGCAAAAGTCATTATAAATGTACATCGTTTTATATGTTTTGCAACTCCCAGGGGAATTCCATGACCATAGATAAGACTGTTATTTCCGCTGCTCAGCCTTTGGTCCCCTGGAACAGTGCTTCATTCATCTGATTATAACAGTTCCCTGCGGTGAGCAATCCTCCTCGCAGCCCTCCCGGGGCAGTCACCTCCCTGACAGGAGTCTATTTTGCTGGTGGAAGCAGAGAGCCGAGTGGTGCTAACTCCGTGCTTCTCCTCGCCTCTCTCTCTTGCTCTGAAACCTTCTAACTACCTTTGCCAAAAAGGACCCCCAAAACCAGCATAATAAGATCTAGGCCCAAGAGCAAAACGGGAAAGGGCAGGAAGCATTTGTTTCCCCAAATGCCATGTCTTTTTACTGCAGATTCACCACTTGGCGTGAGCAAGGGAACTGTTTCATAGATAAATCCTATCCATTGAAGTGAGTTTACGTTAGGACAGAAGGACGGTAACATTTTTTTGATGGGGCTTTAATGGTTATCTCTAAGAAGCCAGATGGACTTTCCATCTCGACGCTACTTGTGAGTGGCAGGAGGGAACAGCCGACAGTAATTAGCTTGTGTACCTTGTAGAAGGTCCTTGCTAGGCCTTCTAGATCCCAAGTCCCTTCATGTCAACCCTCAGGCTTTGTGTCGAAGACCCTGTGACTGGGGTGTTACTAAATGTCTCGGTGGGGCGATCGTGCCTTTAAAGAGGAATTTTGCCTCCTAAAGGCTGGAGCAGCTCCGCCTCCTAACGCAGTGATGGGTTCTGCCCTGTGTGCTGAGTGCAGGCCCATTTAGGAAACGATTGTTGGCCTTGGTCTTCGTACAGCCAAGGAAGAACGAAAAGCTGTGGTGCCCTTCAGCCTGTCGGAGGAGAGTTTACATTCCCGAAGCAGCTGTTTTAGCCTCCCTAGTCAGTGCACTGACAGATTGTAAGCACCTTGGGGAAACGGGTTTCATGAATCTTTTTTCAACACAGTATATATTAAGGATGCATGTTTCAGGTTCCCAGGTGGCATTATTTGAAAATGTGCAATGTTGGATTTTATTTTTACATTGTCACACTGTATGAGACTTACGAAATGGACCCCAGCAGATTGATAGTAAGAGCCAAGCACTGAAAAAAGAAACCATATAATAGCCTCGGGGAAAACGATCATTGGGTTTATAAAATGTAATCGAACCTAACAAATCCTTTTAAATACTTTTTGTCTGAACTGGACCATGGTATTATCTCAGCCTTAAATACCATATTTTTCTAATGGCCCCCAGCCTTTCAGCATCTCTACATTTCCCCAGTTTTTTTATACTGTTATATCCCCGAGAAGACAATTATATTCAATTGGTGACTCAGTAATACCCAGAGCTAAGCTCGTCTCCTCTAAGATTACTTTTTTGGTGATGTGCACATACACCGTCTAAATAAGTAGGAACCTAAAATACAGCTTTGAAGACATGAAGATACAGAACAAAGTGCAGTTGGGTTTAGAAGTGTTGTGAAAGCTAAATGTTGATCATATTTCATTCTCCGTAGATACCACCTTCTTTCTCTTGTTGGAATGAAAGGGCTGCTTGTTGGTGGGAGGAGGCGGCTCCTTGGCTGGCCCTTGCCTAAGGGGGGACTATGTGGAAGGCAGGGTGGCTCCTGCCGTCTCCCTGCATGCTCTGGGGCTTTTGTCCTGCATGCCCCATCTTGAAGGAAATCCCTGAGGTGGGATCAGGGCGTTTTCGATGCTTGGCTGGGAGGCATGCTTCTACACCAGAGTCCGTTAGTCTTTTGAGTTTGCGAGACTGGACTTGAAGCTGCTCACACACAGAACTGGGACTCCGCACCCTAGGCATGTGCTCATACTACAGCAGAGATCCGGCATCCTTCACATGGCCCACCCACCACCGCTCAGCTCAGCGGTGCTTCTGTTTTCCTTCAGAGTCCTTGAGGAAAGAAAACTGTTAGATGTCCTGCAGTTTCTTAACGATAAGGGAAATAAAACCAGAATTTAGAAATAAATCGTTACCGACTCCTGACCCGGTTTGAAATTACCATATTAGAAAATATACAAAGTTTTATTTTACTTGGATAAACTTACCCTTCTCTCTGCAGGAAACTAATCAAAGATGTTACGGAAAAGATGGCTCAAGTAGAAGAGAAATTATCTGACACGGATGCACAAAGAAACAGCACGGCCCAAGAACTGGACTCTCTCCAGGCAGAAGCAGAGAGCCTGGACACCACGGTGAAGGAACTTGCTGAGCAACTGGAATTCATCAAAAACTCAGATATTCGGGGTGAGCGTTTCCTGTGCAAGCACTCAATCCGGACATGGAGTTAACCCTCTGTGCAACCTTTCATACAGCACGTTCAGAAAGGGGGGAAAATTGAGTGCCTTCTAACAATTTTAAAGCTTTTCTTCATGGTCTCTGAACCAAGTGAGGACTGAAGTCTCCATTTGACACAAGTGGGACCTGAGTCACAGAGAGACTGAGACCCAGCAGAGGTCCCAGGGGGTACGCAGCGGTTGCTTCATTAGAATAGCATTCGTTTCCTGATTTTTTTAGTTAGCGGTTAACCTCCTGGGCTTCTCTTGGAAAGAGGCTCTTGAGTAGTTAAGAAATGAAGTTGATATTTATGCTAACCCTTTTATATTTAAGAGTGTTGGTTGGTCAGGAAGTAATTTTGGCCAGTCCTTCACTTACTGTTATAGTATGGTCTAAACAGGACCACCCCCAAAAAAGCAAAAGGCAATAGAAATAGGTCAGATCACACTATCCCTGCTGTTTAATACACGATCACTTATTGTTGGGTTGGTCCTTAAAACCAAGACAGCCACTCTGCTCTATGTATACAGGACTAGCCTTGTGAGTGCATCTAATGACTGAAGGAGGAGGAAATTACAGTAGAAACGTAATCTGCAGGCTGCCTGATGCCAGCTGTCTAGAAAGAACTGGATGCTTGCCTGTATAGAAGCAATTCTGCAGGGTGACTTAATTTTTTCATTCAGATGTTTGGCATCCTCCAGAGCCAGAGTAGGAGGCGTAATGGATCAGTCTGTTCATTGACCATGACAGAGAAGTTCTATTTCTCAATGATTTTATTTCTTAAATTTTAAAACCAACCATATAGTACCTTTAGGCTGGAAGACACCACAGATGGACATTGCTTGATGAGATTGAGTACAAGGGGATTCACTGTGGGTAATTTGACTTTGTGCCCTAGGTGCCCTGGATAGCATCACCAAGTATTTCCAGATCTCCCTAGAGGCAGAGAAGAGGGTGAATGCCTCCACCACTGACCCCAACAACACTGTGGAGCAGTCGGAGATCACCAGGGAAAGCGTGGAACACTTGATGATGGAGCAGGAGACCCAGTTCCGGGAAAAACAGGCAGAGCAGGCCCGTCTTCTGGACGAACTGGCAGGCAAACTGCAAAGTCTAGACCTTTCAGCCGCTGCCGAAATGGTAAGGTTAGGGGGCTTGGTCTCAAAGCTATGGTGCTATAGGAGGGGGAAAAAACAACCTGGTTGGTCTTTAATTAATTGTTCACTTTGCAGATGAGCCAGGAGTAAAACCTCCATGGTCCCATCTCTGACCACCAATGTGGGGAACCATGGCTGAACCAGATTAAAAACGAGGCTCTGTGCTTCGAATCTTCCTTCTCCCCAAGGGATCTCTCTCTGGAACACCCAGAGAAGCATGCCTGCTCTTACACACTGTGACTTATTTAAACTTGATCCTTTTCATGCTGTGGACATTTCCTTTTTACTTTGTTCTGATTTGAAGTGCGAACTCCATTTTGGTGGAGCAATTCAGAATCATTTTGGGTTTTCCTTAAAAAAAAAAAGGAAAGAAAGAAAAAAATGAGCTAAAAATGAGCTAAAGAATTTTTCCCATGGGTGTTCATTAAAATGTTCCTTTGTTCCAGTAACTTTACCTGGTGAAGATTAACCTTGAGACCAGCCTAGAAAGATTGCATTTTCCAGAAGCTTTTAAAAAGTAACTCTGGAACCAAATGAAATGGAGTAGTGACTCCAATGAAAATCAGGCTGAAGGCCAAAAAAAGCCAGAGAACCTGTTTCTTCCTCTTGATTCCTTGTTTTTCATGGAAGAGTAGCTATCAGAATTTAGAGGGTACTTTTTTACAGACTTCTGTAAGGCTTATGCTCTCTTAGCTTAGAAATAGGGTCTGTTAAAAGAGGAAGGTAAGTGCCTAGAAAACTGAGAGCTCAGACCATTTTTGTCTTAGCAATGGTTCCCCTTCCTGCCTGCCTGTCCCTACCCTCCTTCTCTGAAATGGACAAAAACACTTTAGTGTGACTAATTTAATTGATACCTACAATATATACTCATTATTTCACTTAGTGGAAATCAGAAGTAATCCTGTCACTAACAGAAAAATGGACGCCTAGAGCAAAGTGTAAATTGCACCGAATAGGAGACAAAGTTGTTATACTGAAGCATGAAATACCACTTCTTTCAATCTTCTTGGCTTTCAGCATTGCTTACAAATTCTAATGAAAAACCAGTCATCACAAAAAACCGGCAAACTAAAATGAAAAGCAGCTAAGCATGCTAAAGGATGTTTGCTTTGCATCAGAGAAAGTATCTTGGGAGGGGTGGCAGTGGCAGGCTCCTCTGGCCATCTGAACGGGCACCCTTGCCTGTGCTTGCTTTTGGATGTGGTGAGCTACCTAGGGATTAGCCAGCCTCTTCTGATCTCTCATTGTATGTGTTGGTCTTAATTATTCTATGAGAATTCCATACTGCCACTTCCTGTCCAGGGAGATTTTGGTCGCTCTGTTTTTTTCAAGTGCCTTCAATTCTTAGCTAGACCCGTGCTGGTTTTTCCATGTTTGCCCCGTCTGTTGAAATAAAACAGATCTAGTGTGCTGTCAGATTGTTTTTAGAAAGCATCCCTTAGGACTTATGCTTACTCTGATTAAAGCTCATGCTCTGTAGCACACGGAGTAAATTTTATTTCTGAAGTTTTTTATGTATTGTAAACCGGATATATGAAAGACTTATTTTGAGATATAATGAGGTTATAATTATCACAAAATTATTAGTCTAAAGAGTGGACTGCATTTATTAAAACACTTTACTTCTTAAAAAGAATACTTCCTGCCCTGGCCAGTGTGGCTCCTTTGGTTGCAGTGTCCTCCCATACGCTGAAGTCTCGGGTTTGATTCCCAGTCAGGGCACATACCCATGTTGTGGGTTCAATCCCCTGTGAAGGTGTGAATGAGAGACAACTGAAACATTCGTTTCCCACATCAATGTTTCTGACTCCTCCCTCTCACCTCCCCTCTATGTCTAAAATCCATCAATTTCCTGATTGGTAGCATTCTGTGGCTCTGATGGGCGAGGTTCAATCTGAGAGAGATCATGTTTGCACCCTGCACAGAGCCCAGTTGGTATTCCAGTTCATCAGGGCAGAAGGTACTGAGGGTTGTAAATTTTTGTTGTTTGCTTGGAAATAAGCAGGTTAGCTTATTCCCTAAACTGTTTCTCTCTCCATCCTGCGCCCTTGCTGAGGACCACCTACATGCTCTCCGGGGCCACCCAGGCCCTGCTCAGCTGTTAGGCTGCAGCACACTCACTGTCTGAACCTCACTCTCTTGGCTCATTGCAGACCTGCGGCACGCCTCCCGGGGCCTCCTGCTCTGAGACGGAATGTGGTGGCCCCAACTGCAGAACTGACGAAGGACAGAAGAAGTGTGGGGGGCCTGGCTGTGGTGGACTGGTCACTGCTGCGCACAACGCCTGGCAGAAGGCCATGGACTTTGACCGAGACATCCTGAGTGCCCTGGCTGAGGTGGAACAGCTCTCCAAGATGGTAATTCGGCGATCAGCCTCAGTCTTTACTGTTTGTTTGCTTTCAATGTGAAGTGGAAGATCTGAAAAGGAGAAACCAATTCAAAGTGCTGACTAAAAAAGGGCATTTAACACCAAGTATGAAAGGGCAAGTTTTTGCGAGGTCAAAGAATTTGCTTTCTTCTCATGACAGTAATTTGAGATAAGCAACCACGCATTTATTCTTATAAAGTGACATATAAAGTCTTAATTTCGTATTAACTGAAGTTTGTATGTAAGTACCTGAGGAAAAGACTTAGGGACATTTATAGGCCACCAAATGTTTTGAAGGAGTTAAAAACTAGAAAATAATTCATATGCTGGCCCTACCTACATGAGACTACTGTATAGGAACCATATATTGACTACTTTCAGTCTGTAAAGGAATATAATATGGTTAAATGTTTCAAAAAGTCATGATTCCAAATGCTAGTTTTTCAACATTTTTTGGACCATTTATAAAATTCCAGTGTGCTTTAGAAGAGTGAAATTGTTCCCTGGGTAATTTATTACTCATGTTTAGGTCTCTGAAGCGAAACTAAGGGCAGATGAGGCAAAACAGAATGCTCAAGATGTTTTGTTGAAAACCAACGCTACCAAAGAAAAAGTGGACCAGAGCAATGAGGACCTGCGAAATCTGATCAAGCAGATCAGAGACTTTTTGATGCGTAAGGAACTTTTCATTTTACTTTTAGATATTTCTTCCTATCTTGGAATATGAAAGTGGTCTAGCACATATGTATTGCTGTAAGTTTGAGGATTATCAGTCAGTAAGGATAGTTTTGGCTAAAAGTGAAAAGGACTTAAAGATTAAAAAAAAAGATGTGTAACATAACTTCAGTAGTAGAATAGCGCCATGGTTCAAATACCCACGTATGTACTTTTCATCTTTCTGCTCTACCACTTTAAGCATATCAGCTTTGTTCTCAGGCTAGCTGCTCCTGGTTAAAAGGTGGCTGCCAAAGTTCCAGACTTCATGTAAAGACACTGATATCTATGGGAAAAATAGACCATCTGTCCCTTTGTAGCATCTTTTTTAAAGGAATGAAAATAGTCACCAGAACCCTCTGAGCAGTCATCTCCATAAATCCCACTGGCCAGAAATGAGTCCCATGCATAACTGCCCCTGACAAATGGAATGGAACTGCCATATTTGTCAGACTAATTAGAATCTATGTGAGCATCGCTCACGCATAGGGTTGCCAGGCGTTGGAACCAACTCATGGGCACACAACACAATCAGGATTTAATACCAGAATTGATAAAGCTTACCTTACCTTAGAGGTAGGTGCCTGAACCAAATCAGTATTCTGTTAGCTTTCTTATTAGCCATTTCCCCTTTTTCCTTGCTAACAGTACTTACTAAAGATACCTTATGGAATATTCTGTGGGAGCCATCATTCAGTGACATTACGTTGAGTTTTTTAAAAGGGTTAAAAACTAAGACATACTTAAGGCTTAACCTGTTGTACCTCCTTTCACATTTGAAATTTGAAATTCTTCGGCTTCTGATAGATATGTCATCCTGATTCTTTTGTTTCTTTGGATTTTTTTCTTTCTGTAGTTTCCTGAATCCACATTATTTACAGGGAATATCAACTATATCTGCATTTACAGTAGTTTCCTGCCTAGTCTTTTTACCTCAATTGAAAATTTTCATTGCCTGTTAGGATCAAGTCTCAGCTTTCTACCTTGGCCTCTATCTCTTCTACAATCTTAACCATTCACACCACTCAACTTTCACATAACACTCTGCTCCCAGTCTCTCCATTCAAAGACGTCCTTCTTTCTAATACTGTTATCCTCCAAAATCAGATGGGTTCCTCAGTCTCCACGAAGACCTCCCTGACTTCCAGACCGCAGCACATCCCAGCTATCCTTGTTGTCTGCATTACTTTCTCATGTGTACAGATCTCTCCTCCCTACGCAGATTATGAAATCTTAACAGGAAGTGTGTTTTGTCTTGGTGTAACTACACTGTGCTAGTCCCATAGTAGATGACCGTAAGTGGTTGAACAGGTGAACCATATATGACTCTCACCTCTTTATGGGAACATCTTTAACAGAGGATGGTGCCGATTTGGACAGCATTGAAGCAGTTGCCAATGAAGTATTGAAAATGGAAATGCCTAGCACCCCAGAGCAGTTGCAGAACTTGACCGAAGATATTCGTGAACGAGTTGAAAGCCTTTCTCAAGTGGAGGTCATTCTACAGCAAAGTGCTGCTGACGTTGCCAGAGCTGAGATGCTGCTAGAAGAAGCTAAAAGAGCCAGGTATCTGAAGATACTGATGGCATTTAGGGTGGCTTATTCTGTGTATCTAGGCTGGAGTAAAAAAAGTAATTAACCAACAGAAATTTCTATGAGTCTTCTGGGTCATTTCAGGAAGGCTCTTTAAAAGAAATGTATTTTTGTTTTTTCTGAAAGGCACTTTTTTCATGTTCACATATAATAAACTGTCTCATTCTTTTACTCAGCAAAAGTGCAACAAATGTTAAAGTCACTGCAGACATGGTAAAGGAAGCTCTGGAAGAAGCAGAAAAGGCCCAGATCGCAGCAGAGAAGGCAATTAAACAAGCAGATGAAGATATCCAAGGAACCCAAAACCTGCTAACTTCAGTGAGTTATCAGTCATTATATGTAGGTGAAAGCACTCGCATGTACTCTTTTTATCAGAAAGGGGCATTCGATACTTAGAAAATCCTTTACTATGTCCTTAGCCCAGATGCTAACAGTGACCTGTTTTCAAAGAAGAAACAGGAATTCTGACAACATAAACATTAAGCCCCCCTTCATATTCATTTCCCTAAAAAGTTTGTTTCCTGTTTCTTCAAGAAATCCCTTAGTGTCTATTCAGTAGTATGAAGTATGATATTAATTTCAAGATCCATTGTTAGAAAACCCCTGCTGTTATGAAGCAGCCCCAAAGCAACTACATGGTTAAAACCAGTGTCTTATGAGGTGATTAGTAAAATTCTACTAGTTTTGAAAAGGACTGGAAAGCAACAAGGGGTCAAAATGTGAGTTTCCAATGTCCATTCTAGAGGAACCTAATAGAGATCTTAGCTAAACAGTCTTGTGTTCAAAATGCATGGAAAACGTGATGTTTTATTATAAGTGAAACTAGAGGCCCGGTGCACGGATCTGGTTTACTGCACACTTGTGTTCCACACCCTGTACAACAGTAACTTCGCAGAGTGCCCTCTTGCACTCTGGGACCCTCCGGGGGATGTTGGAGGGCTGGTTTCAGCCCAATCCCCACAGGCCAGGCAGAGGGACCCCAGCTTGCCCAGTCCCCTTGTAATTAATTTCTTTCAATGTGCACAAATCCATGCACTGGGCCACTAGTAAAACTATAAAGCTTACCTCTTGGAATTAAAACTATTCTAAGAATGTTTCTAAGTTAATAGATAAACTTTTAGGTTAAGAATTATTTGGTTTTAAACAAATTTTAGTTTCACTATGGCATTATTATTCAGAGAGAATCCTATGGAAAGAGACCCATCCTTAAGAATTATTTCTAAGAAAGAGTGCTGAGTCAAACTAGTTTTTCTATCATGGGCCACATTGCTTTGGCTAGCTAAAAAATAAAAATAACTAAATACTGATATATTTTTTTATTATACTTTAAATGAATCAAATGTGGATTTTCCCCCAGATATTTTTCCCCTAAGTAACTTTATTTACAGCTCCCATTTCCCAATCCTATCAGTAACTGTTCAGACTAAAATTCCTATGTCTTCAGTAATTAGCTACTTGAAGTGCCATAAACTCCACTACTGGAGTTTCAAGTTGATAGAAAAAAAAACTAAAGGTGACTGGAAGTTACAATTTTCCCACCAACATTAATTTGGCAGTTTATGTGGAAATCCCTCTTCTTACAGCTGTTTATTTGTGATCATTGGCCAACATTTGCAGATGTCCTTAAGCCAGGGGTGGTTCTTACCCTGAGGAGAAACTTCATGTGCATTTCAGCCTAGACCACTAGAAGCACCAAAAGATGTAGTTAACATGGGATGTAGCAAACACTGTTTAAAGTTGGGCACTTTACTATGCTTTCTTGAAATTATATTTTCTTTTTAATAATTACTTAGTCTAAAATAAAATGGTAATAGTAGTCCTTTAAATCTCCCTACCACTTCTTAAGTTAATGGCTTGCTGAATGTCATTTTTAGATTGAGTCTGAAACAGCAGCTTCTGAGGAAACCTTGTTCAACGCCTCCCAGCGCATCAGTGAGCTTGAAAGGAATATGGAAGAACTTAAGCGGAAGACAGCACAAAACTCTGGGGAGGCAGAATATATTGAAAAAGTAGTACATGCTGTGCAACAAAGTGCTGAAGATGTTAAAAAGGTAAGTAAATCTTTGTAACTTCACAGCTGTGTTGATCAAGGAGCAACTAGTCTCACTGCCTTCCTTGGAATTAATAAGGAACATAGCCCTAATATAGTCATCAGAAACTTCTAAATGACCTGTTCTGACATAGCAGTCTTTAAAGTCAGATAGGAAAGAATGGAAGTGGATATGAAAAATATCCGATAAGCATGATCTAGATCCTCAAATCCGAACATAGACAGGGTATGGAAGTCTTAAAACAAGCATATTAAGCATCTATTTCTGTATTTTCAATCAGGAAGATCTTGATGGCATACATAATTACCTGGCCACTTGAGAAACCATTAAAAGCAGTATAGAAAACACTTCACAACCGAGTTCACACCAGTTTGTAGGAAGGGAACCACATCTCACCCTTCTACACTCATTTTGAATTAAACCCCCTGCCCTTGCTTCTCCCTGGAAGGTCCTCTATTTTGCAGAGAAAATCTCACATGATCCAGTTTTTTCACCAAGAAGCCAAGTAATTTTTACATGTCTGGGCTTTATTTCCAAAGCACCTTTTTAAACTTTTGGGGAGAATGTTTACACTGTAGGGCATTAGAGATTAAAATTAATTTCAAGATTTTTCCTGAAATTACTTTGGCTTTTGGGCATTACATAACAGTGACTATCCTAACCTCTGAGTCGGAGAAAAGAACAAAACAGAAAATTTCACTTCCACTTCTGTCTTTTCCACTCGTTTCCTGCATGAATTTCACAGATAATTTTGCATACATGACATTGATAACAATAAATAGGAACAAAACCACTTGACAATTCCTAGTAATGGCTATTGTTCAAAGTGTTTCTCAAAAGAATCACTGGTAACCATCTTTCCAAGCCTAGACCAGCTTCTCTTCTCAACCACCCACATATACATACTATCATCTCACCCTTCCTTTAATTAAATCTGCCTTTTCCCTAATTTCTTGGTAACAAGTCTCTACAAACACTAAATTAGTCAAGAATCCAGATGGCCCTCCTTCCACTTCTTCAAAAAGAGCCTTTTGAAATTTAAATCTCAGCACATCTACTTTTGAGAAACTCTCTAGAATGTCTCCAAAGAAAAGTGCTAATCAGCAGGAGAGGACTTAGCCCTAGACCAGTTAAAACTCCAAAGTGTTTTTAAAAGTCATATCAATGTTGTAGGTAATTCCACTGTTTCAATATAATGTTTTCAACTGTTTACCACTGAATAGCTTGAAGCCTGAGTCCCTTTAATCCAGAATGCTTGCTGTGCAAGTTAATACCTATGTGATCCAAGCTTGCCACAATTACTGCCCTTATAATGTAATTGCTGACACTAACATTACCACTACTTTGTGTCTAAACGTGGGACTGCAGACTCTGGATGGTGAACTTGATGAAAAATATAAGAAAGTAGAAAATTTAATTGCCAAAAAAACCGAAGAGTCAGCTGATGCCAGAAGGAAAGCTGAAATGCTACAAAATGAAGCAAAAACACTTTTGGCTCAAGCAAACAGCAAGCTGCAACTCCTGAAAGGTAGGTCTGTTCACCTAGGTTCATACTTTCACAAAAAAATGCATTTATTTTATGTATTTTAAAATAAATGCATTCATAGTTTGTTTTTATTTAAAAGGTGAAAATCCATTCACTTTGTCTCAGGCACATAATAGAACCTTATAAGCAAAGATAGATAATTATTATTAGGTTTTGAGATCATCACAGTATAAATTGCTCAGACTTCTTCTTTTTATCTCTCACAGATTTAGAAAGAAAATATGAGGACAACCAAAAATATTTAGAAGATAAAGCTCAAGAATTAGAAAGACTGGAAGGAGAAGTCCGTACACTCCTGAAGGATATAAGCCAGAAAGTTACTATTTACAGCACCTGCTTGTAATGAAGGAGGAAGGGCTATAAGACAGCTGGTGACCAAAGTAAAATAGCTACATTTAAAAACTGACTTACTGATCTTCAAAGTAAAACTCATGGCCTATTTAATGTTTTTAATCACCACATTTTGTATGGAGTTTAATAAAGTACAGTGCTTTTGTATAAATATATATGTTTAGTATAATTCTTAAAATTGTGACTTTTACTGATTTTAGTGTTCATGAATCCCTTGAACAAAGAATGTTATTTTCACTGTAAATATGGATTTATAAACAGATTGCTCTATGGAGACCCTGATGTCTGTAAACATGCTATATTATTCATCTCTTTGCTAAGCCAATATCCTCCATAAATCCAACCCAAATCACCTCCCAGGCTAGAGCTACTTGCACAATTTCAGTGGCTGCTTAGTTGCTCCAATCTCTAAAACTCCCACAGTATTAAAAAACAGAGTAATTTTTAGAAAATTGTGGCTTTTAAGTATTACCACCTAGAACAGGTTCAGGGTTGCTATGGGGAAGGTTTAAATTAGAGAAGCCAGAGTTTAGCCGAGACCGGTTTGGCTCAATGGATAGAGCGTCAGCTTGGGGACTGAAGGGTCCTGGGTTCGATTCCGGTCAAGGGCATGTACCTTGGTTGCGGGCATATCCCCAGTAGGGGGTGTGCAAGAGGCAGCTGATTGATGACTCTCTCTCTCTCTCTCCCTTCCTCTCTGTACAAAATCAATAAAATATATTAATAAATAAATAAATAAATTAGAGAAGCCAGAGTTTAGACATTGCTCCTGCTGAGGGAGCAGTGCTACTCAGCTTTTATATTGTATTTTTTAACTCA